AAAATTAATTTATAAATAAGTATTGTTAAATATTAATAATTAAAATTTTAATTTTTAAATTTGATAAACAAACCCACTTTGGTAGAGGTTTTCATCGTCAATATTAATTTTCATTGTTATGAAAGATTCATCATTAAATTGTTTATGCCACATCAGCAACCTCGTGGGGTCCACTTAGAATCCGTATATAAAACCCAGCTCTTTTCCCTCTATTTTTCGTTCTCTCTTCTTCTCTTCCTTGGAGGTCAAGGAGGTGGCAGAATTAAACCTCAATTAGGGTTTTACACGTTGGAAACAACCCACTCTAATCTATATCTCTTTCTGCTCATATCCAATCGTATTCCTGATCGAATTCGAAAACCCTACTAAGGTTTTCAGAGTCCACAAGAATATTAACACTTCCATACCTTTGATTGATTTTGGGATGGAAAAGGATTCGGTGGGTTCTACTACAAAATCCATGCCGGTACATTCTGCTGCAGATATAATGCTTTCCCTTGAAGGTGAGATTGACCCTGAAGCAGTGAAGTTGTGGTACTATCAAGGTTTGGATAAGAGTTACCGGGGTGACCCAAGAAAATCAGAGATTAAGGAGAAAGCAAAGAAGCATCTTTTGGCTGCAGGGTGGTTTTTTTGGTACGCCGAGAAGGGGAACGGCAGAGAATTGCGGTATACTTCACCGACGGGGACTGTGTACTATTCGCTTCGAAAAGCGTGCAAAGGCTGTATGGAAATTGAAGGAGGAGGCGCCGTCGATGGAACCTCTGAGTCTGGTAGCTTGATCACGAGTCTTGAAAGTGAAAATCTGTTCGAGAATGAGGCTCTGAAGACACCGCCGGCGAGAAAGAGGAAGACTCTGATGACAGCGGAGGAATGTGGCGGAGTTTCAACGCCGGTCCCAACCCCCAAAAGAGGCAGAGGAAGGCCGAGGAAACAGCGGGATGAGTCTTTGTGTGAACCAAAATCAACCCAAAAGAATGGGTCGGCATCGGAAGTTGCATTCTCCGGAGGAGAGCCGGTTAGAGTCCAAAACCCAAGAAGTGGAAAACCCCGAGGAAGGCCGAAGAAACCCAAGGTTGATTTGAAATCTGACAGTTTGAGCGAACCGCATTGGAACCAAAAGGGTGGCACCGACCCGGAATATCTTCCTGCCGGAGTATCACCGTCTCCGTCGAAGCCCAGAAGAGGAAAGACTCCCAAAAAGGTCAAGAAATCAAGAGACAATGAAAAACCAGGTAAACCAATTAGTCACCGTGTGAAGCAATTTAGTTTTACCGTGCGACAGGGGTTGCCTCCCACCGCCCATCATCGGAATCCTCGAACCATTCTCTCATGGCTGATCGACAACGGTGTAGTTCGGGTTTTGGAAAAGGTACAGTACCAAGGAAAGTCAAAGAAAGGCCGGATAACTCGTGAAGGAATCCAGTGTGACTGTTGCTTCAGGGTATTTACTCTCACCCAATTTGAGGCTCACGCCGGTAGCACCAATCATCGTCCGGCAGCGAACTTAATCTTGGAAGACGGTCGGTCTATTGCCGATTGTCAAAAGCAGGTGAAAAATCGGATACTCACAAGCTCAACATTACAGACCCATGATGCTGCAAAGGAGATACCCCTTGAACAGAATGATTCAGTGTGCTCTGTTTGCCGTTACGGGGGAGAACTGCTTTGCTGTGATCAATGTCCCTCTGCATTCCACAAGGATTGTCTGGGTTTGGAGGAGATCCCGGCCGGATGCTGGTTCTGCCCATCTTGCTGCTGTAAAATCTGCGGCCAGAACGGATGCCATGAAGGAGCTGAACGTCTAGAGGGAGATAGTTTTGTCAGATGTGATCAATGTGAACTCAAATTCCACATTGACTGCGTCAGGAATTATCAGCCTGGAGGAGATAAATGGTTCTGCAGTAGCAACTGTGAGTATATATTATCCGGCCTCCAGAAGCTCATTGGAAAACCAATTCAATTGGGGGAGGACAATGTCACCTGGACGTTAGTGAAATCCATGGAGAATTCTGATAGCCAGGATGCTGAGGCTAAGGCAGAGAATCACAGCAAGCTAAGCATTGCTCTTGATGTTATGCATGAGTGTTTTGAGCCGTCTAAGGATGCTTTCACCGGGAGAGACCTTGTTGAAGATGTGATTTTCAGCAGGGAATCAGGGCTGAAACGATTGAATTTCAGGGGATTCTATACTGTCCTTTTGGAGAACAATGATGAACTGGTTTGTGCGGCCACTCTGAGGGTTTTTGGGGAGAAAGTAGCAGAGATGCCGCTTGTGGGAACCAGGTTTAAGTTCCGGCGACTTGGGATGTGCCGGATTCTGATGAATGAACTGGAGAAGCAGCTGATGGAATTGGGGGTTGAGAGATTGGTTTTACCAGCAGTGCCCGGGGTGGTTGATACATGGGTAAACAACTTTGGATTCTCAAAGATGACGGATCAGGAGAGATCGATGCTTTTGGATTTCACATTCCTGGATTTTCAGGGCACTGAAATGTGCCAGAAACTCTTGAAGAAGCCCGTTGAAGCTGATGATGGTGGGGATTTTGATTGGTACAACTGTCTTCTGGAGGAGTTAGAAGAAGAAGAACCTGTGGAGAGGCAGGCTTCAAGGCAAATGGTAGAGAACCACTGCAGACAGCAGCAAGGGCTTGTTGAGCCTAATCATTCTAATTATGGTGGTTTTTGTGTGTAAAATCTTCATCTCCAGTTGGATTTTGTTGCCCCCTGTTTTCTGAACCGCAACATCTTAAGCCTTCCTTGAACAAAAAGGTGATTTTTTTGTTTTTTTGGTTGGTACATAAATCATATTTTCCATGGCTTATAATTGAGGTTTTTTGTTTGGTTATTTGGATGTGCTAAGTTAATGTGCTTTCTGGATTCATGATTTTCTGATATAAGGAAAACAGTAAAAAATTATAGCGGAATATATATAGAGCTGTATTTAACAAAAATGTTGATGTAAACAACAAAATCTGTAATCTGTAGTATGTACAAAGATACACGGTTCGAATAAGTATAAAGAAGGAATTTTAGATGGCAGAAAGAGGTGAAGCAATTTGATGTAGCAGCAGATTTCAATCACTCCAGTTATCCTGATCATCAGTCCGTGCTTCATTCTGCTTGTTCAATCGCAATGAAGTAAGATACTAGATTGGTTAAGAAAACAAAAACATTAATCTTGAATGTAGAGAATGTACCATTTCATCAGAAATCAATCTGCCTGGAGACCAGACAAGGATTTGTCTATTGTTGCCACCTGTGTATAGTTCCTAGAATAATGAAGAAATTAGTCAGGATATAAGTTGAAACTAAAAATATGCACTGGAAATAAATTGTTTGTTGTAAGAAGATGGTCATACTTAAGTATTTCTCATCAACTTATCTCACCAACAGGATGTTATGACTCACAGTAAATGGCATGAGCTGGCTAAGTAAATGAGTCATAGAGTGTTCTTCCTTATGTTTTATGGTGATTAAGAAACTGAAAAATATGTGAGGTGGGCTGTTGTACCTGATCCTGTGAATTAAACCAGCAACAATTCACGCATTCATAGTGCCCATGGAATGCTAGGGAGGTTTTACCAGACCAAATATCAAATGCCTAAAAAAATTCAGAGAATGGCTTTAAGGTGTTAAGGTTCCCAAACAACCTTACGTAAATTAAACAGAGAGGAGGCACAGAAGGAACAATTTACTTTCACAACTGCCATGCATGGAACAAATGCCAGAGCTGAATCCTGAGATGTGGCTAACTGAATGGCCTTGCTAGTCTGTAGGCGCACTGTCTCAAAGTTTACAAGTGTATTGCGGCCAGATTCAAGATCCCATAACCTTATTCTCGAATCAGATCCTGGAATCAAAATGCACAGACTTTTAATTGTAATCTGAAAGTTTAGCAATTATTCATCTTGTGATAACTGATTAGCTAGTTAAATGTAATTAGGAAGAACTACGAACTTAGTATGGTTTCAGTATTCAAAGTAAGAACTAAGCAGTCACCTTAAATATCACCTTATAACAATTATTTAGATGCCAGCTTAGACTTAACCAACATAAATTCTTCATCAAGACATTTTTTGTGCCCACTAACCGGTATAAAGTATGAACTAAATCTGATTTAAGATAAGACTATGAAATATTCTAACAAGAACTTTAGAAACCAAGCAAAACTCAACCTGCACTTAAAAGATACATGCCATCCTCAGTAACCTTCAAACCAGTTACAATACCATAATGAGCAGTGGCACGGTCCTGACTAGACAGCATCCCTGGATGTAATCTTTGCCTGACAGATCCCTTAGCTGGCATTCGAGAAATGGTTGAGTGTTTTGGGCCATGCCCATTAGCATGTTTCTTATGTGGTGCTCGTGACCTTGTTAATGAGTTCTGACCAGCTGACAAAGACTGAATAAAAGCATATCTTATTACTTGAAAGCAAGAAAGAAATAGAATGATAAAAAGCAAAAAGTCAATGAAAGGAAGAGTTCAGCATTAACATTAACTGAATGTTGTTAACCATACCTTATCACTTTAAGCAATCGTATTTTAAATTGAAAGTAGGTGAAACGACGAAAAAAGGTAAGGACATGAAAGTAAGGACCTCCAGACAAAAGGAAAAACCTTACATGCAATTCTTTAAGTGCTTCAAGGTCCATGGCCTACAACTTTAGTATACATAAACTTGTCAAGTCATTCTCTAGAAGACAGTAAAATTTAGCATGAATTTCAACTTCTACACAAGTTTTATATTGTAAAATTTACACGTATATTGAAAAGAAACAAGGGTCATTAACTAGATAACAGTCTAAAATACATCAAGTAAGAACAATCCTGACAAGCATACAAGATTATGAGAAATAAAAAGAAAACCTTATTCAATGCTGCACGTTCCAAGACAGGTGGGCGTCTTCCAAGCTGAGATTGAGATTGATCTAGAACACGGAAGCAACCAGCACGTCTAATGTCCCAAAAACGTATTGCACCATCACATCCTCCTGTTATCAATATCCATTCACTGGAAGCAGACCACTCCACTGTCATTACACCGTCTGCCATCATGAAAATAACATAATGTCCTTTGCCTCCCATTGGCAGTTAATACTATGTTACAATTGGCATAATAAACTAAATTCATGATAAACTGAATAGTGAAAATAAGAGAAGAAGATGCAAAATATAGGGTAAGCTATTTATGGTCCAAAAAAGTACAAACACGGCATCCAAAACCTTGAACATCTCAGTAGTATGATGGATCCAAACGGAGATAATAAATTAAAATAAAGAAATTAAAATAAGAATAATATCAAATAAGAAGCCCCTGGCTAGGGGACAGGTCAAAATCAAAATAAGTGCCAGAAAGCTTGATATCCATATTCCCACTTCCAAACAACCTATACAATACAAAACTTGTCTTATTCTTGGCAACCGAATACTAGATACACATCATTGGAATTCTGTTTATATCTCTTATACTTGCCATATGTATAGGTACTTAATAAACAATTTAGAGTACTTGCAACATTCTGTGTCTCAAGATTTATGGACTGTGTAAGCCATGAAATTTATGGAAACTATTAATAACAAATAGGCTTTGACTGACAGGAATCACAGAAATGATGCTACAAAAGAAGCATAAAAGAACAGAATAGTGGCACCAAATCTCAAGCATACCACGGTGACCTGACAATGTGTGCGCAAATGCCCCAGAGGCAATATCACAGAGGCGAACCTGGACATCTTCAGTTCCAGCAGCAATTAGCATGTGAGATGTTGCCAATGGAGACATAGCCGTTCTGTAAACCTTTCCAGGCATTTTAAAATCCATCACCACCTACAAAATTAAATGGAGAAATTAAAAAGAAAGGAAATCAAAACTTATTTGTGATCCAGACAGGACTCCATTACAAGAAAAGATAATGCCACAGTATAACTTGGATAAAAACCTGTGTGGTATTTGTATCCCAGACTTTTATATAATGATCATATGAACCAGTTATGAACAGCCCTGTGTCTACAGGATACCATATGGCTGATGAAATGGCATATTTATGTCCATTTCCATGTTGCTTGTCAACAGAAAAAATGCTCTTGTGCTTCGCAATAAGACCAGCTCCCTCATAATCCGTAGCACGTTGAATATCATAAACAGCAGCTGATGCATCTGATGCGGCGGATAACAAATACCTTCCCTCTGTCAAATCAACCTGATAACATGATTAGAACATGCAGAACGAATGCTTCAAAACCTTAATTCTGAGGTGTTCAGACGTATAATAGCCTAAATATTAAAACATCTTATTTAAGGATAAATCCAGTTGTGTTAAGCTCTGGATGAACAAACCGAGGTGATTCAAAATCAGAAATTGAAGCAAAAGGCTACATAAACAGGATTTATTGCATTAGGTGGTTGCTAATTTAGCAATAAATACACAGAGCAGAAACATTAAATCAAGCTTAAAATCCAATGAATTCACGACAGAAACAAAAATGAAAAAGTAGTAAGAAAGCAAGTCGGAGTACTTGAAGGGAGTTGATGGCGCCTCTGTGAGGAGAGACGATGTCTTTGTGATTGGAGATTTGGAGGTCGGAAATACGGCCGGATTTTATCCGATTCGAGAAGGAATTTGGGCGGAGTTTTCCCGCTTCTCTGTCTCTGATTCCCTTCCACATTTTCCGAGCATCTTTGACTGGCAAACTCTCCGTTTTCACCTCACGTCACCGCCTTTCTTCTCAGTTCTAACTCGTTTTTCCGGCGATCGATTGATCTGAAGAAACTATTGTTAATATACATAAACCTGAAGAAGAATTTAACGAGGACTCTCAGGGGAATCGTAAGCTATTATCTCTCTGTATAACTCAGAATCGACATCCCCTTCTGGCAACCTCGCGTCGTTCTTATTCAAGAGGATAAATGGGCTGTTGGATTCATGAGAAGAGTCGACCCAACCCAATTTTAATTTAGCCGGCTTGCTTGTTACGGGCCTTTTGTTTCCCCTTGTTTGTCATGGGCTATTGGAGTGATGGATAGATCAGGTCTGGATTTAAAATTTGATTGTTGCTACTTGTTGTGAATATCTAAGAGGAAAAAGGAAAATGAGAAGTTTTGATATTAAAATGTCAAGATGTTCGTCAATAATCTAAGTAATTTAGTAGTTATTTTCTTTTGTTATAAATAAAAAATTTTTGAATTCGAGTTGTATGGTATGTGAATGGGGTGAGATAAAAGATAAGAGATAGTTATCTCTTATTGTGCAATCAAAATAAAAAAAAAAAAAGTTAATATGTTCAACCATAATTATTAAATGTATAGGATATTATGAATTATAATTTTATTAAATTTATTATATAGCTATTATTAGACATCTTAACATTTTTAGTTTCAAGACATTTTGATTTTTCTTTTTTCTATCTAAAAGAATTAATGTTTAAATGTATGATGTATCTTTAAAATTATTTGAGGAAAAATTAGTATCGAGAATTGTAAAAGTTGATTTTGAAATATCCTAACTGTAAATAATAATAATAATAATAATAAAAATAAAAACTCCATAGTTTGAAATTAGTTAAGAGGAGCCATCAGCAGATTCAGCACCATACTTTTTTTTTAACCAAAAAAACACATACATAAAATGACCCTGTAAAATCATGTAACAAGATAATGCTACATAGATTTCTTCATGATGTTCCAAATCGACCAAAGAAAACAAAGAATTAGGTGATAGATTTTTTATTTGTAATAACTGTTGATCGGTGGTTTAGGTGCTCCTTAAAGTCTCCTTCTTTATAACCAAGCTACCTTAGTCAAAGGTGAGTAATGGCTTAAATTTAGATGGATTTTGTTTTTCTTTTATTATGCAAATGCGATGTCCAAAATTGCGGGCTGTCGCTACCAACAATGAAAATGCCATCGTGCTTATCCCCTATGGGCTATGATTTACAAAACTGGTAAAGAGATTTAAAATAAAAACCACAAATACAACAACAGCCTTGGCAATTTTTCTAATTTTGAATCATAGTAGGTAAGGGCAAACCAAATGGAGGCCTGAAAACGAATCCTATGTTGGTCTTATGTTTCATGGAATTTTTAAATTTGAGACTGGGGCAAGTAGGGAGTTAGTTAAGAATTAGAAAATTTCTTAGTATGCGAAATGACTTAATTAATTTAGTGACAAATCTCTTTTTAATAAATGTAATAAGTCTCATTTTTATTTAAAGGATTTGTTTAATTTGTCTTTTAAGGGTATGATTTAAAAATATATTAAATATATTTTTTGTCATAAATTTATATTAAAAAATAAAATAAAATATTTAATTTATCAACTATTTAATTAAATTCATCTAACATTAAAATTAATATTAATTCTTACCTTTTTTATATACATTCATAATAAAAAGATATAACAAATATACTCTTATTAAAAAAACCCTTATTTAAATCATACAATACCATACTACTATAGTGTAATTAAAAAATTAAAAAATTAATATTTTATAATTTAAATTGTAAAATATCAATTGAGAAAACTCTTATTTATTATTAAAAATCTCTCTTCATCTAATAATTTACATTTATAATTTAATACAATTTAAACTATAAATTATTTAAAATACACGATTTAGGGGTAGCAAGAGTATATAAAAAGGAAACCAACCTGGTAAATGAATCTGTTGCGCAATGAATAAGGTGTAGTGACTGGTGAGTGGGGCTGATAATAAAGTACCAAGAGATGGAGAGGAACTGAGAGTGGATGGAGAAGCATGCATGGAAGACGACAAGGAAACATCCAAGGCACCATCACTGCTTGTCCCCTCCTGGGCTAGCTAGTGGCCTCTGCTTCAGTACTTCTTAGCAGATTCAAGATTCTTGAGAATTTTGATGGAGAGATGAGAAAAGCCGAAGAAAGGTCCCCGATCACGTGATATCCTATATACTTTTCTGCTGTTACTCCTTTCTCTGTTTCCTTTACAGGAAATAAAAAATGTGGAAAAACTTTCTAGGACAAAATTTGAACTTTCTTTCATAATTTTGTTCCTTTTTTTTCCCCCGAATTTCATTAGACCTTAATCATGAGATTTAAAGAAAAAGAGAATTTCTTTAGAAATCATGATGGCTCAACTTTGTTCATTCTACAATCTGCCGCTTAATTAACAAGAAAAGAAAAGTAACCCTTTTTTAATTTCTTTAAGTATTTACTTAATATACCTAAAAAAAAGTATAAAAGTGTTTCAATTGATTATAAAACTTAATTTTTTTTTATTTTAGTGATATAATGAAAGGTAATTATCTCACATCTCTTATACTATTCCATCTGTATGTTATGCAATTCGAATACAGATATAAAACTTAAAATTTTAAGTTAAAGATTTTGATATAAATTTGAAAATGTGTGAGAAAAAAAAAAAAAAAAAAAAAAAAAACTATCATTGATTATATACCTTATCACGTGAAGCATTCACTTAATATACATAATGCAATGCAGAAAGATTTTCAATGATAGAACTAAGAACAAAGCAAGGACATTTCCCCCAACCTTAGTGAAAAATTTGAGATTTTCATTTTCTTCCTACAAAGAGATTCACCGTATGACATTTGATCTGTCTTTTTCTCCTAAACATGCCTTGACTTGATAAGACTCGTGCCTAACAACGGGCCCAAGCAAGTTTCGGTTTTGCTTGCGATTCAAGCTCTCATCATATGATTCTACACTTTTCCCCTTTAGGTTGCATATATGTATAATGACCAACATTTTTATTTTGTCCATGCAATAAATCATATGATTCAATGAAAATCATCTTCAATTACAAACTTTATCATATAAAAGTGGAAATTCTATTGCCTTCAGTACAATTTAATTTGGTAGTCCACTAGTAATATATCGTAGCCTTTTTTAAAAGGATTCAAAGAACAAGCTTGGGATTGGAAGGAAAAAAAACACACTATTCTTATCAAGTGTCATTACAATAATACCTCAAAAATAATATAGACATAATTCATCTTAAATTTTTATCAAGTACAGTAGTAAGTACCATAATTAATTAATTTTACTTAAAGATAAGAT